TTTTTTTTACCACATATAGGCTAGTTGATTCTGTTGCTACGTTTGTTCAATGATATGCCTGTAATTTCATCACTTTTTAGGTTACAATACCTGGCAACCTTATGTGGGCGACCCAAAAATGTATATTTACCACATGTGACCATTCAATTACATAAATGTTTGTTTTCTCTAGCAGTGGTTCTGAACTTCCAGATCATCCATTTTGTGATTTCATCATATTTTTGTCACTTGTTTTTTTCAGTATACAAGTATAGCAAAAAACAAAACACTGATGTATATTATGCAAAACAATGTTGCTGTTGATATGCAAAATGGTGTTGTCAGAACAAGAGATATACTGTATGTACCTCTACCTCAGACGAAACATAAAAACAAAACGTGAATTTTCTAAATAATTATATTTCTTTATTTATTGATAGCTCTAAGAGGGGTTTTTTGTAGAGGCACTTCTACAATACAGCAATGCAAGGTGTCATTCACAGCTGTTAGTGCAACACTAGTGCTTTAACCAGTGTTTAAACTTCTACAGAAACATAAGAGACACGCTTGGTTTTCAAGTGAAGTGGATCACAGACCATCTTCAGACTTTTACAGAAATTCACACCACTATTAAGTGCCTGATTCGCAGTGCAATCAAAGGTTTGCCTGGTGAAAATTAACTCAAGGAATTATTATTCTGATCAGGTTACACTGATCCTAAAAAACCTTTGGCTTCATAAATGAGAATAAAAATATTTCTTGGAAAATTTTGACTACTGATACCAAAAACATCACAGTTGCAACATTCTTTATCCATGAATAATACATTAACAATTTAATAAATGTAAGGTAATTAATTTAAACTCTTGATTAAACCCTTAATCAAACCCATGTAACTTATCAGCCGACTGCACGCTGAAAAATAAATATAGACCATTCACATAAATATAAAACATTATTTCAGTGATGCTTCACCAATGCTGCGTCAACATATGCTCTCGCATACAGGTGTAGTTTGAAACTAATGCTAAATATACCGGCAACATGACAAACAGAGGAAGCTAAACCAGATCCGTAGCCTCCTACAAACAGAATCAACAAGTCCTGTGAACATTTTTCAGTCTTCTGAAAGATGATTAGTAAAGCAGTAATGGTTAAATGACAGTTTTAAACGTCAAAAATAAAACAATAAAATAATGCAAAGCTACATAAAGTATTAAGACAAACCGATGTCTTACTGCTCAATCACTCGTTGTTCAGCGTGACGTGAAGGTCAACACACTTCTTCTATTAGTATTAAGCTAACAGAGTGGAATATGACAATATTACCTGAGGTCTCTGCAATAATCTCACAAAACCTGATCTATCACAGTATCGTGCGAGAAGGATTTGGTCTGACCGTATCAAAACACAGTGATTTGTCATCTATTAGATCTCACATTGTGGAACAAAATAAATATTGCTTGCTCGTGTCATCATAAATATTCAATCGCCCGAGAAGGGTTTATCACTACAAAGAATGAAACAGATTTGGATCGCAACTGTATTTCTCTCACCCTGAGATTTGCATAGCAACCCTGATTCTTCACAGCACTTCTTAAAAATGGCTAATGCGGGGAAATGAACGCATTTCTATCTGTTGAAGAGCTGGTTCCAGCCTCTGGTTGCTTCCATTAGATGTCTCTGTCCGTGACCCACCCAGGCTTCTTGGTTTGTGAAAAGCCGCCCGCAAAACCAGCATCTAAACGTCGGCTGCAGCACGATGCTCTCCGACACTGTCGGTACTACGGTGTACTTTCTTCCACACACTCGTTTGAGCCTCAGTTTCAAGCTGAACCTTTCTTTAACGGTCCCGTTTGGCCATTCTCTCCTGCGGTGGGACGC